AGGTTTTGCTTTCGACATCATTCTGACATCCTTCGTAATTTTGCAGGTGCGATCAAACCACAAGACGTCGAAAATCGACGACTCCCTGGCATTGTTACATAACAAAATGATTTGAGCTGAACTAACATCAACGTTAGATGTGCATTACTGGTTTTGCAATGCAACTTTTGGTTTTGCGGCTTACATTTCTAAATACTAACCGCTTGGGCCCCTTTGCGCTGTGGGCCCTCCCGCGACCGCGGGGGTGGATGCTACGCCACTGCGAACCAAGTCACCCAATGTGAAAAAGCGTTTTTAGTGCTCGACTTATATTTACAGTATGACTAAATAGCTGAGCAGCTTAGTTTACTCTCGTCTTCTTTCCGAGTTTTAAATTGAAATGCGCGTCTGGGGTCGATATGCTAACTCTCGTCTGTCTATTGGAAATTGTAATCACTTGGAATAAATTCACAAATTAAATCTCTTCGCGGCACACTAATAATGTGCCACAACACGGCTGATGGAAATCACTTGATTAGAGTGACATCTAATGCATCATCGGTAAATCGCGAGCAGCGTCACATTTGAGGGAGTCATAAAATCATAAAAAAATAGAAATCGGCTATTTAGGTTTATTACAGAAATTAAAGCGTGTTGTTCTTCACCTCAAAAATCAGTGACTTCTGCAAATAGTTTTAAAACAGGAGAAAGCTGCCGCATGATCTCTCAATCACTGGCTTTTGGGGCAATAGTTTGGACAACACTTGGTTTCGCCATATTCTCGGCACTTAGTACCGCCATTACAGTCCACTGCATTTCGGTGAGACGCTTGACCTTGACGAATGTGCTATTCCATCTGATACTGGGCATTTTCAAATACCCGATGATTTCAGAATCGAATCGAATCTCGAATACTTGGGAGGAATAAAATTGTATGTTACTTTCTTATTGTATTAGGTCCAGATTGTATTAGGTCCAGTTCCAGACACATGAAAAACTGGAAACGTAAAATACATCATTAAGGCAGATTGCTGAGCGTTCACACACATTAAAAAACACGATTTCATCAAGAACTCACTACAGAAAAGAGTCATATGTCAGAATTGCGTTGAAAAATATGGCTTCGGTGAAAAAATAGAAAAATTTAAATCGACCATTGGCGGAGAGAAAAAAAAACAAGATGGCGACGATTCGAAATTTTGCTCTGAACCGATTCGAATAATTTACTCCTGACTTGTTTACTTTTGAAACATGAACTTGTTTCTGGTCTATGTCTCGTTTAACTACGGTAGGTTTGGGTTTTTTGTAATTTTTTTTTAGTGTGTGTGCTGGTGCGCGGGAACATGATATTTTAAACTTTTTTGAAGGTTTTGCTTGCTCTCCAGAATTCTCCATTCTTAATTTGCGTGAATTATGAAGTTTTTAAACAACTATCTATCTACCAACAAGGGCAGATGCTTAATTGAACATCTTGGGACAAAAAAGGCGGAAGAAGGCTCTCGTGGACCGATATTTCACAGGATGGGATTACCCACGAGGTTAATTTGCTCTCCTGTTTTTTTTTCTGAATTTCTGTCCCTTGTTTTTATCTTATGCAGTATAATTTCGTTGAACCATTTAGGAGCTCACATGCGGTTGCTGATGCGGTTTTTAAAAATTCGAATCTCGAAAATTAAGTCGATTTTATGTAAACGGAAAGCGTTGAAAATTCTAAAAAAATTTGTAGAATAAAATTCAACCAAAAAAATGTTCCGTGATAACCCACCTTTAAATTCCCGCCGAGCTTTTTTGAAAAACCGCCCTGTGTGCGCGGATTAATTCGTTATCGGACGACGAAGTAGTTCAACAAGAATACATATGTAGGCGCTCCCGTAGTATTCGTACCAAGATGGCGCACAACCTGACCATAGTATGTGTACCAGGGCCGTAAGGCTGGGCATTTCGAATCGAATCGAATAGTAAATTATTCGAGTCGGTTCAGAGCGAAATTTGGAATCGTCGCCATCTTGTTTTTTTCCTTTCCGCCAATTGTCGAGGTAAATTTCTCATTTTTTTTTTATGGAAGTCATATTTTTTCAACGCAATTCTGACATATGACTCTTTTCTGTAGTGAGTTATTGATAAAACGTATTTTTCATTGTGTGTGAAAGCTCAGCAATCTGTCTGAGTGATGTATTTTACGTTTCTAGTAATTTATGTGTCTGGAGAAAGAATACAAGAAGAAAGTTACATACAATTATATATTTCCCAAGTATTCGAGATTCGATTTAATTCGTAAAAAATATTCGATTCGATTCTGAAATCATCAGGTATTCGAAAATGCCCAGGCCTAGCCACGAGTTAGGGTTAGTGCACCATCTTGGTACGAATACTACGGAAGCCCTATTGACGTGGTATAAATTTGGTAAATTTGACTTAATTGATAATAAATACGACAAGAATGATTTTATAATTTAGAGAAATTTAATTTCTGCTTTACGTGGGCTTGCCTGGCGATCATCTCAAGCAGCTACTGCACCTTGCATCCTCAACGATTACGACCCGCTTTGGCAAACTTATTAGAAATCAAAGCCTAAATAAATAGCTGTTAGGCTAGGGTGGGCAAAATTGAATTTTTTTTCGAATCAAATAATTTGAATATTTTTTTTATACATAACAGGGATCCAGAACTTCGGAGGTCGATACTCCATTTGGAAATTAATAGAAACATTAAAAAGTCGGCAATAAAGCGTTTTTAAATGGGTAATTTTATCATAATTGCTGATTGTCTTTGTCACCGCGATCGTTTTGGCGGCGATATCCTAAAGTTGGTATTCTATATTTCAGCCCTTTCTCGTTTTTGCAAGAATAGGCGGTCGCCGAATATCGAAATTTCATATTTCTAGTATACCATTGCGTTCACATCAGCGACAGCTGTTGAATACATTTAAGGACTAATTTTAAAACCAAATTAATTCTATTCTGTGTTTTATCCTCTGCCTTGGATTCGATCTTCCTTATCACCACTTGTAAGTTAACCGTGCATGTTCAAGGGGAACGGTAACCGAGATGCAGATATTTAATATAATGATATTTGAGTTTCTCATGCTTTTCTATGGTGTCCGTGTTATTTTAGTATTAGATAGATAAACCTAGCAAATTTACGATTGCGTGAATCCTGAATGTTGATTTAAAATAGCGATTAAATAAATTGGCAATAAAGGCATTTCTAGGCCTTTGTGCCTAATAGAGGGTCAGACTCTAATTATACCTAATTCCTTCAAGTTTTAACGTTTTTTTTTTCAACAAAACAACATCCCGATGGTTATTATAGCTAAAATACTTACTGAGAAATGCTCAATTTTCCTTATGGAATTTGCAAATTCAGCACTTCGCTTAATGATTTTGATTATGTCATACCTTGAGGCTTAATTATTACTGCCCAAATGCTCCAAAATTTAACAATTGTAATCATTTTCGATGATAATAGGCGCAACAATTCGTGAACGAGTCAATGCTTTAAAGGGAGTAGGATATGACATTTCTTATCCGGTTACAACTTAATAAGTGTTTTCCATACAAGTAACTCATACCAGCTTTTGGAAAAACTTTTGGTCATATTTAAATCCATGCTATTTACATAACTAGAGTGTTTTAACGACCTAAAATCGCCTTTTTCACAATAAAACGCCTAAAAGTCATTTTAACATTTAATTTCAAGCAACTTTATGTTCGGTAATGCAAGAAATGGCTAATGACATGTCACCAAGCATGCCGAGTGTAAATCTGGGAATTTATTTTAAATACCTAATCTGGTTTGACGCTTCTAAATTTACGGAACGGTCGGTCCGTTTTTTTTTTGCAAAATGATGAATTGAAAGGATACGTTAGGTGCAAAAATAAGCATATAACACCATAACGCAAAGACGACTTTTCAAATTTTTTTTTTTCTGATAGCGAGCGCCGTTGGGAAATCTCGCACAATTCACGATTGAGTTGGAGACGCTCGAGTTCGGTGTCCAAGCAGAGCAGCGCAGGTCACGTGGTACCGGATATCCGAATCGTGAAATGCCATTCGAATATTTTATTATTCGAAAAATTTTGCCCAGCCCTAGTTATTACGTGTGTTGTTGTTACGATGAATTAGTATTTTAATTACGCGCTGAAGTTTTGTTGCTATTTTATCTTGCGTTGTTTGTGTGCGGCTCTTCATAACTTTGAGGTTTGAAATGCGGTTCTGGGACTAAAAAAGTTTGAGAACCACTGCTCTAAATCATTGAATGAAGCCCTAGCCATAAATGAAGATGAGATACAATTTTTCTCGCTTTTAAAACTCGCCCAAAATTATGTTCCGAGTCGGTTAAGTCTCTATCGTGGTTATTAGAGTGTTGTGTGTAATTGTATTTTACTGTTTAGATGAAATACACATGAATTGATATACCGAACCTTTGAAAACGTGACTCCAAACGATTCTATGCAGATAGTACAAGCTATATACAAGGCTCTGGAGCCCAGTTGAACTTTATCGCTGTTAAACACTGACCCACACAATACGAGTCACTGTTAACTGGTTTAAGGAGGAAACAGGATGTCGCTGCATGATAACCATCTTTGGTTCTCGGCGACTCTCCTGTGAATCTGTGCAATTATTATTTCTCGAAATTTGTGTGCGATTTTTTTTATTTCTGGTTGGAAAAAAAAACTTGACTTGATTAACGCGGTTTGAGGCTCTTTTTAGGGTTTCCTCTTTTGCGTGCTGTTTTGTCAACGGGTCGAAATAGGGATATATATCTGTATGTTATCTATGTCTCTATATGTAACACTGTTATTAACAAGAAATCGTTGAGTCACAAAAACGTTGTTTTTCCAAGTTCTATTAGGTTATGGATCTCTAGGCATACCAGGTAGCCATTTTACAGAATGAGGTCAATTCAAGATAACGAACAAAACTGATGAGAGGTAGGCTAAGTGGGCGCCAGATACTTCATCAAAGCTACTTGCGAAAAACGCATTGCTTGAAGATGAATGTAGCGTGGTTCCCATACACATCTTTCCTCTTGTTGTTCTGAGACTACGGCACCCAATTTCTTTGAAATTTTTGATTGTGGAAGAATCTATTTTTGGTGCTCCCGTAGTATTCGTACCAAGATGGCGAACAACCTGAACATAGTATGTGTACCAGGTTAGGGTTAGCAAGTTGTGCGTCATCTTGGCACGAATACTAAGAAAGCGCCCTATTTTTTTTGCTAGAAGGCTATTCATTACTTCTGTCTTTTTCATAACTGTCCGTGGGCCGATTATTTTGATTTCGGAAGGAAAAAGATCTTTAGACCGTATTTCATGAAAGTTACGAGGCAACTTTAAAAACCTGAAGCAACAAATATTTACGAGCGAAGATGGAGGGAACGCCAAAGCCTGAATGCTAGAATAACAGATTTAAATTTAATGACGATTCTTGATATTTCTCTGGAACTCCCCCCAGTCAACACCACACGATCAATTATTAAATAATCTATTGAATCAATTTCATCAAAACAGAAAAAAAATCACACAATTCAGGATCCTATACATGAAAATGGCGGAATGAGAGAAAAGTACTGAAACCCTCATTTTCTGAAAGAAAAATGAAGGAATAAATGAAAAAGCAATGAAAATAAGATTCTTTCCACATAAACCAAAGGAGGAGAGGAAAGCATATTAGATTGTTTTAATCATGATCACCGCTCATCCTATTACAAATGTTTATCGAGGAGAGAAAAGTTAAGACGGTTCTATCATTTGGCAAGCCACGCCCCTTTGACTACTCTTTTTCTACAGAAAAAGGGGAGGAAAAGTGGGTGATTCCCCAGGATTTTTTTTGCCCTTTGCAGAAATAAACAAATGAAATACCCTGAAAATTCAAGAAAACCGTGAAATACAGCAGAATTTCATTTTTTATTGGAAAATAATGACAATTAATCATTTCGACTGAATCAGCATAATCCTGTCAGCACCTTCATTCTATACAGCGGCAGTCATTGGAAATCAAATAAAAAGTATGAAAGATTTAAGGATTTGAGAATATATGAATTCTAATTGTTGTCAGCATCTCGCTGTGATGGCAATTCGTTCAAGCATAGCCATATTTATTACTATTTTGAATAAATTCTGAATTAACAATTGCGCACACGGGATATCATATATATTCTGATGAGAGCTCAAGTCAGGACATCAGGAACACCCTGTATATCAGGATGCATTTCAAATGATGTCGTTACACTTGCAGAATTATGAACACTTTATTCAGATCAAATTATTCTGCCAGGTTTTATTCTTAGCAATGTCTCATTTAAACATTTAGTGATACTGGCAGAATTATGAACACTTTATTCAGATCAAATTATTCTGCCAGCTTTTATTATAATATAAACTGGACATTCACACAATAATCATATTTTATACCGGTAGGAACAAATCTATGGTTCAATGCTGTAAATTTTATCATCTATTGTGCGATAAATATCAACAACGTTATTAAATATTCAAAAACAAAGAATTATTTGGATCCTTATAATCAGTACGAAGTATATGACATGGGCAAATGATTTGGCAAATACAAGGAAAGTCATGATCGCACTTGATCAGCATATAAATTGGGTCTTGTCAATTACTGGAAAGAGAGAAAAGGCAGATAGGCGAAAATAGGTTGTGCGACTTAAAACATGGCCCTGTGACTATTAACGGGGGCGCTGGTCACTGGCACAAAAAGCAGGATATTATTTGTATATACAGGGTATTCATAAGTTCCCTTTACAATTTGAATTTTGTTATGAAGTCTGCTTTCAATATATATTTTAACCAGGTTTGTAGTTTTTAAATCAGTAATAAGTATTTTTACTTCACTTGATACATCTGTGAGCGACGAAACAATACATGATATCGATGAATTCTCTTTGCAATTTTAGGAATTTATAGACACCCCTTCATATCTGTATATTCTAAATTGGTTTGACTAAAAGCCTGCTGGGTTTAAGTTGGTTGGGAATAGGGCTGGGCATTTTCGAATACCTGATGATTTCAGCAGATTTTGAATCTTGAATACCGGTACTTGGGTTATATGCTACTTTTTTATTGTAATTGGTCCTGTTAACAAATGTATTACTGAAAACATGAATAAATAACTAAGACAGATTGCGGAGGTTCACACACAATGAAAAACACTTATTTATCAATAACTCACTACGGAAAATAGCATTATGTCAGAATTGTTTTGAAAAAATATGGTTAAAAATATTGGGTAATTCACCTCGACCATTGGCGGAAAGAAAAAACAAGATGGCGGCGATTCAAAATTTTGCTATGAACCGATTCGATTAATTTACCATTCGAATCGATTCGGAGTGCCCAGCCCTAGTTGGGAATCGGGAAAAATTGGGTTCTGTAACCATTTTCTTTGACGATGTAGTTTTTATCAGGTCATTTTTGGGTCTGAAAAAGTACACATTGTAACTGCCAAAAATACTGCCCAAATTTCATTTTTTTCAAACAAAAGCCTGTCTTTTGCGGTACGCTATAGGTACTGTACTCTATTTGGCATGGGAAGTCTGTGCTTAATTGAAAACTTTTACATCAATTTTCTGTCTGGATGTTATTCAAACAGTTTCGGCGATAATTGCACATCATATTTTTGTCTGACTTGACCGGTTTTCAAGGAAGTACGGCTTTTTCTTCCAATGACCCCCATTTCCTGCATTGCTCTCTTTCCAGTAATTATCAAAACCTCTGCAATCGCACATAATTATCAACAAAAAAATGATAAAACGAAATTTTAAACTAAAGAATTCTTATGAAGGATCAGGATGAGCTCAGTACATCTTTTGCTACTTTTTATGATGACATAGACTCTGGTCAGTAATGACTAATAGGGAGACTTTGGTGCACTAAATGGATGATATGAAATATTTATGAAGATAGCAAGTTGATGCATGTTATAGGCTCAAAATTATTTGCTAATTTTCAATAATAAAAAAGTTAATTTGTACATTTTGGCCACTTTTTCCATAATAATATAGGTTAGATTTCATACATATGAAAGATAACACTGGATTGGGACTCTGGTCAATTTTAACTAATAGTGAGACTTTGGTGCACGTAATGGTTATGATGAAATATCTTTAAATAGTACCTGCATGACATGGACTCAAATTTTTTTGTCACTTTTTTAATAATAATAATGTTAGATTTCTTATATTTGAAATAAAAAACAGTACATTAGATGGTCAGTGATAATAAGACGACCTTGGTTCACCTAATGGCTAATAAGATAAATACACAAATATACCAAGTTTTCAAAGATTATGGACTTGAATATTTTTGCTATTTTTTAATAATAATAATTGTTAGATTTCTTATATTTGAATAAAAAACAGTAGATAGGTTGATCAGTAATTATATAGAGACTTTGGTGCACCTAATGGCTGATTCGATAAACACATGAAGACAGCAAGGCATCGCAGATTATGAATTCAGAATTTTTTGCTATTTTTCAATAATCAAGTAGATGTCAGATTTCATATATTTGAAAAAAAAACAATAGATTGGCTGATCAGCAATAATAGGGAGACTTTGGTGCACTTAATGGCTAATATGAAAGATCTATAAATATTTGCAGATTTTGCATTTTCAGGCTCAGAATTAATAATAATAAGTTAAATTTCATGTTATTGATTGGATTATTAAGATGGTTATATTATATCTGAATCATGACATCAGTGAGGACTAATGGTGACTTAACTTAAGTAAAGTCTGGCTTATTATTGCAGACGTTTGAGTCTAGAGGAAGTAGAGGGTCAAAGGTCGCACCAGATTACACAGAGCATTTGGTACTCCCGTAGTATGTGTACCAGGTTAGGGTTAGGCCATTATTTTATTCCGATCTTTCTTTTTTTAGTTCTATCACGAGTTCGGGGACTGTCTGTGTTAGCCAAGTGAATATACCCCCTGCCGATAAGTTTCCGTCCTCTTACACAACTTGATGTTTGGTAAGAGAAAAAAATTAGTTACGTCCATATTGGTACAAATACTTCTGGAGCGCCAAGAATTCTTGATGTCAGAGTCATATTTTTCAAAGTGGAGTTGATACTTTCGATTCCACAAATTCGTTAAAGATTTGGGTTCAAAGACCGTAGCTACGACTTCACGCGGAGTGCAACAAATTGGGCGACAATGACAAAACTTAGGATAAGAATAACACATATATCCCGGGGGAAAGGAAAACCGATAAGGAAGCTTAATAATATGGTGAACCACGGCCTCTCATCCAGTTACCAATCAATGTCGGGTAATGGAATTAGTTTGCCAGTTATTTGTTTTCAGATGTATGGACTTACAAGAAACGTAGTATCTCTGTGCTTATTAATACCCGTTTGTTTATGCCTTCTTAAGAGCAGCGGGGGTTACTTAGATACTGAAGGGTACTTTAGAACAGAGTTTCCCAAACTTTTTTGGGCGACGACCCCTGTTTGTAAATCTTATTTTTGACGAACCCCCATCCAATGCCGTATCGATTCATGCACTTAACCAACGACGAAGGATAATGCGAATAAATCTCACGAAAATTTGAATTAATACATACTTAATGCAAACTTTAGATACTGGCAGGCTAACGGTAATTCGACAAGATTATGTTCCAGATCATTTCCATATAGTTACGAACCCCCTGTGAACTTATCACGAACCCCCAGGGGTCTGCTGACCACAGTTAGGGAAACCTTGCTCAAGAAACGGAAAGCTATAGAAAAAAGAAAAGACCATTCCCTGGCTAAAAATTACAGTAACTTCCTTTGTATCAGTGGCTCTTCATCCTTATTAAAAACAGGAATGTGAAAAACATTAGTTAGTTGAAGATTATTTCCAATCATGTCCGGAAAATTCGTCGTAGGAAATTTCGCAGCATAGAAAAAAATCGCAAGGGCATTTTTTCTAAAAATAAGTATTTGTCATTAAAACTGTTAGGTTTATAGGGTTAGGTATGCTTTAAATAATAAGGCGATTTTTCATACATCGATTTTTCCTATGCGACCAAATTTACTGTGGCGAATTTTCTTGAACCATTTCCAATTTTCCCATGAAGCAATGAATTGATTTAAAACAGTTTATAGAGTTCGGGTTAAGGTGTGCTCTCAAATAACGAATCTTTTTAAAAATGGGAAATTTTTCATACATCGATGTCCCTATGCGGACAAATTTCCTGCGGCGAATTTTCTTAAACCATTTCCAATTTTTCCAAGAAGCAATGAATTTGATTCCAGTCCTGACCCTGGTAGCTGACACAAACAACATATATTGAATTACTTCTTAAGCTCAAACAATCAGTTCTAATTAATAAACCCAGGATACAGGAACCCATTGTGGAGTTGTGCATACTTCGTCAATGGCTCTCTAAAAATAAAAAAATGTGATCAATTATTTATGAATGTGAGGGTTTTCAACTGGTTTCCGCGGAACACCAGGGCTGCATCGGTATGTTTATTTGCCTCAAAAAATGTAACAATATCTGCATAATAATTAAACAGTAAAACAGAAACGGGATACATGTTGAAGACTCCCAAATCCTAGAATCCATTGTTTGTATATTGTTTAAATATGCTCAAATACCCAAGGTTTGCTGCTATCCTTAAACTAAACATTTGTTACTATCACTTCCGAAAACATATTTCAAACTTCAAATGCAATAGCAAACAAAATGTGGACAATGCTCAAATTCATGAACAGCAATGCCAAGCATCGATCCGGCCAGGCTACTGTATTTCTGAGAAAAACTACAAAACTCAGTTACATGCACCATTCCACCATTAAAAATGTTTGATCAATTTTTTATGAATGTGAGGGGAGGACAGTGATTTCCAACCGGGATTCTTTACATTTAGATTTAATAGATATTGTTTAAATATAATCAAACACCTATTAGGTTGGCCCTTATTACACTTTAATAAATATCTTTCGTATATTCAAGCATTGTTATTATTAATGTACCCCTAATCCCACGTCACCCAAATATGGTCATAATTCTTGTGTATAATTCTTTCTTATACAATTCTCAATCATGATGGATCCTAATTCGATATCGCCCTGTTAGGGCTTAGTACTTTTGTGTGGTTGTATTTCACCGTTACTCTCTTATAATATTCTCAATATCGATGCACCTCCTCATTCAATGTCGCCCTATTAAGGTCAATTTTGGTGACAATTTTATATAAATTGTATCTTCAAATCTGGGCAGGAAAACGGGGGTGTAGACAGGAAATTTTCGAAGGTTGGGTTCTGAAATTCCTAATTGGGTGGGTTTTGAAATTTGTAATTGCCAAAAGATTGCATTACTGGTAAAAATAGTTCCGCCTTTATCAGTCAGCGGTCGACAGTACAGAGAGCCCTGTTCGTACCGAAGCGGCGAAAAACGTTATACAAACTTCCGGTGCACAAAGTTTGATACACAAACGCCATCAAAATGTTTCCATAGAATTTTAAATACTCTTAACTAGTGCGGATCTGGATCTGGTCTTGATAAACTGGGTGAGTTTTAATTTTGTAGATCGCAACAGCTAGCAAGCCGGCAAATATGGGTTTTCAAGAGTCTTGGGCAGGGGTTCTCAATCTTTATTGGCCGCGGGCCAAAATTAGAATCGGAAGGATGTTCGCGGGCCGGAAGAAACATGTTTGTTCGACTCGTAATGGCGCTTTATGTCGTATCACTTCAGAACTGGAATAGTTCGTTGGCAAAGTGGACAAATCGCTTAAGTTTGATTCCATTTAATACGAGTCTTGTTTTTATTTGACATCTCCAACCTTTCTTACACGGACGAAAACTAAATTACTGCCCTAGGTAATCCTAATACCGGAACGTATAATTCAGATACCGGTGCAATCAAATTTCTATGATGAAGACGAGCTTAAACTGTGATAATGACATAATAATTGGCGGTTTCTAGATTGCAAAAAGGTATAGAAACAAAATCTGTTTCCACTTGAGCTCGGCGGGCCATTTTAAATCATTACGCGGGCCTGATTTGGCCCGCGGGACGCGGTTTAGGAACCCCTGGTCTTGAGGGTCTAAAAAGTGTTTCAAGCTACGAAAAAATGCATTGTATGATACAGAAAAATGTTTTTTAACATTTCCAAATGACCCCCCCCTGGCTATGCCCCTGCTGAAAAACACTGATTCAAATCAATATAGGTCTCAATTTTTTATCCAATGAGGGGACTTACCCTTAATTTATCAATGGTATCATCTATATCATTATTCACAATTGTCAAATCAAAACATTGTTGATACGATTCCCGTAACGTTTCCGATTCGTTTTGAAGTCGAACAAGGCTTTCGTCCTGGAATAGATGAAAAGACATTGGTTGTAAACCAGGAAATTACTTGAGGCTTCAACCCCTTAAGGAAGTGGTTCTTCCTTTTTTGAAACCATTTTGTATGACTGGAAATACCGAAACTAGGAATATTTATAACTATCATAAAAATAGTGGCATCTTACAGAAATAAAAAAAAACATAGCTTTAGCAAACTTGCTGAGATTTTGGCGCTCCTGAAGTATGTGTACCTATATGGGGGCAACTAATTTTGTTTGCCTACTTTACATCAAGTTGTGAGAAGGAACTGAAACCTATGGGCAGGAGGTATATTCATTTGGCTAACACAGACAGTCCCCGAACTTGTAACAGAACTAAAATAAGGAAAATCCGAATAAAATTATGCGCTAACCCTAAACTGGTACACATACTACGGGAGTACCGAGATTTAAGCTCATGTCTCTATGACAGAGAAAACCGATTTACTATGGAAAAAAATATTAATTCACTTACAGGTAAATGCTCACACCACGGTGGCAACTGTCTCCAGCAAAAAAAGAAAGTTCACAATTGTTCATATTTAATTAAGAAAACTGTGACCGTCAGTGTTCACTATGAGAAAATTGTGAGTGCATGGGCGCCTCAAATAGCAAAAAACTTTAAAATTACTGTGCTTAGCCATTTCCGAAAACATATTTCACTTTGCAGAGAAAACTTCAAATGTATTATTAAGCAAAACACAAGAGAGCAATGTCAGGCACCTATGCCGATCCAGTTAGAGAACTGTATTTCATAAAAAACTACAGGCATAATACCAGTGCTGCAGTGTGGCTCATCGTGCTAAGCGTTAGAAATACGCTCGCCACCGCATCTCTGATTACTCTGCGGTTCGCTGGTTCAAATCCCATGCTGGAATAGTTATGTGCGACAGGATTGCTAGACTCCTTGCCTTCGTAGGGTGGTTCACGAACCTCTGGTCTGTTACGGCTTTCTCCATCATCAAGTCCATGCTTCCGAAAACAAACAACTGGTAATCCCATACTATCCATGGAATGGTAACCGGACGAGAGGCCGTGGTTCGCCATATCATTAGGCCGTCTTATGGACCTTCCTCTCCCCCAGGATAAATATGTAAATCCTATCCTACAACTGTTGCTTATTTAGTTAAATAATAGATTATTCGGTTTCAGCCATCCCTGACCGAACCCATAAAATTATAGAAACGTTACCTCGCTCCCCCCAACATTGAGACTTGGTGCTTGGATGAAAACTACAAATGGAGCAAATTCAGCAGAACGAAGAATCTTCAGAGCCTGTGGGAGGAAAGTAGAAATAAAGAGTTTGAGAAGATTCACAAAAATATTTCTTTTCAAAAAAATTTGCTGGAATTGAGGTCACATGCATACATTCACTCACAAATGAAGGAGATACAGTCTTCCCATAATTACTTGCGGATTCAATATGGCCTGCCAAACTTGAGTGAAATAGTTTAACATTTCTAGCCTTTGCAGGCGCTCCCCTCTCCCGGCAAATATCCTTCTGTTTCTAATTTTCGTTCAATCAACTTTGGGAACCACTGCTCTAAGCTTTAAGTTAAGGACTTGGTACAATACTTGTGCAAGACTATTTAAATACAAAACAAGATGAGCCATACTACTATCTTTCCATGAACAGACCTGTGGCTCAACATCTAATATTGCGATCATGTCTTCGTTGTGAATTTTGCGAATTGTATCGAGTTTTGTCCCATAGAGGGCGCTCTCGTGCGTTCCATACTCCAAATACTGAAATGAAAATAATATATTAGAGAAAAATTATATTGAACATTGTATAATGATACAAAGCTACCATTTTCGATAGGACCGACGTTCAACAGCTCCGGGATTGCTCACCGAATTTTTTGACGCCGCCCTGAGACTCCAATTTGCAATAGCTTACACAAAACGCACTAGACTAGCGTTTCCCAACCGGTTGGTAATTCCCTGTTAACTTTATTGTATTTAAGGCAACTAGCATTTTCCCAGATGGCTGAGCATGACCTGTGATGTCATCAGTCATAGATGACTGATCATGACCAACCAGCTGTGAAGGTGAAGTAGCCATGTGCTCTCTGTAGTTGAGGGCTCATTCTTGTCGGTGTGCCTTGGGAGTTACTTTGCTGATGTATAGGCATTTACTAATTATACGTTTATACTCAGTTAACATTAAGGAGTTGCAAGTGGGGGATAAACAAACTGACACGCAGTAAACACAATGAATGAGTTTATATACAATACATCACACAGAGCAGAGAAAGACTCCTAAGCTAATTTTAATGAAACTTATTGTAAATAGGTTTAAGGAGGTGAAACACAGTTGATGGGCAACCCGCTCACCAGAGACAAGACGGCTAATTACACAAGTGGTCTGTTGTCCGTCTTGTCGCAATTTCTATTGCGCCGTTTTAAACCTATATGATTGTAATTTGACCGCATGGTCGTATCGTTGCCATCCAGTCTGTACCAAAAACTGTTTTGCTTTTTATTAATTATGTTTTTGTTTGTAATAATAAACAAATAAACTCTCCCTTCTATCAAGCTACGAGTCCGCTCACCTACAGATGCATTAAAGTTACTGAAGCAGATCAAAGCCTCAAAATTCAGAGTGAACATGTAGGAAAATTCAAGATACTCCCTAAGTATGTGAACCAAGATGGCGAACAACCTGAACACAGTATGTGTACCATGTTAGGGTTACCAGGTTGTGTGTCATCTTGGTGCACATACTTCTGGAGCGCCAAATCCAACACATACATGATTATTCTTGATGTCTTCCATCATCTCTTCTTGGGTGACAAAATAATAATTCTTTCCTTGGATCTCTTCCGCCCTCTGTGGCCGAGTTGTATCTATAGCAACGAAAAATTGACTTTCAAACTATTAAGGTTATGGCTCTCCTCGGGGCATGGTTCCTTCTGTAACATTGGTTGATTGGGAAAATGTTGAAGATGGCATTGGAGATGGCAACAATTGGAGTTACTTTTTTCGTTTAAACAGATTTACGATTGAAAACATCGGTCCGTTTGAAAGGCTATTTGCAGTTACTAGTTGTGATTTCGAGGTACAAATTGAATAACACAATGTTTTTTTTTGTTTTCTAAAGAGTTTATTTAATACTTACGAGGGATAGGATAGCTGAATCTACTAGGTTGCGTCGTTATCAACGTATTTTTAATGTGGCGTCTCCCAACTCCATGAGCGCCTGCAAGAAGAAAATGGTATATTCAAAATGAGCAATTTAAAGAATGTAGACCAAATTTCTTTTTAAAAAAAAGTTTGCTTGAACCAACGTCACCACATGCACTCACTCAGAAGTAAAGGAGACTCATCTCTGAGCAAAGTTACGGGCACTCACTGTCTGCTGGTGTATGTGGCCTGTATAGATAGCAAAGCCTACGGAGTACGGCCGAGGTCATCATGACGACCAGTTTAGTCACAATTCGGATTCCTGTACTTGGGAACACTCCGAAAAAGCTAGCAGAACACAGTTTGAGAAACGCTGATAAAGGCTCTCGAATATGTGTTTAGAAACTAGCATAACTTGTGGACTGTACTGGCAAAACCGGTTGAAAACGGCAACAGAACAATCTAGCGAACGAAGCAATCACCACAATCAATTATTAGAGCCATTACTAGATAGCCCATCATTAATGACTATCATCAACAAAAGCAGACTCACCTAGAAGAACAAGAGTTTTCCTGGCAAATGAAGGTATTTTAACAACTTCTTCGTAAGTCATCAAGTCCAGTTGATCAAAAACTAAAACAGAAGGAAAAATTTTTGTCAGCGAGGATCAAACATTTCAAAATCATTGTTAATAGTTTTATTGGAAATTAACCAGTGGTTTTCAACGTTCACACAGTGAGGAGTCCCTTTGCCTATATTTGGTGGCGGCGTGGTTATGCATATGAAAACAAATAACTGCCTAACTAATCCCATATCAGACATGGACTGGTAACCGGACGAGAATCCTTGGTTGGCCATATGATTAAGAACAATAATAAATAAACTAACCAGCATTATGCTTCGCCAGATATTTATCCTTCTGTTGTTTTTTCTTTTTCCCAAACCATGAGCTTCCTTGGTGTTCCGCTTTCGCTCGTTCCATAGCCATACACGCCACCCTCCTGGAAATAGGGAGTATAGGTTACTCCCACCTCACCCAGAATATACTGAAGTGGGTAGTAAATGCAGAACCGGAAAAAATTCATTTCAAATTTTTATCTTCTGGGGGAAATTTTCCGGTTTCAATAGGTATTTCATCATCTCAGTCATTGCCTAATGAACTAAGTAGGAAATCCTTTCAAAAAGAAAAGTGGCTTCTTTTGTATGTTTATAAGGGTTATTCAAGCTGTAGGGTGGATGACGTAACAGGGTTATAAACTGTTGGTACAACGATTCTAATTCTACTGTTCTCAAAACAAATGATGTGTATTTCGAACTCTGTAGATCAGCGGTTCTCAAACGATGGGGCATGTCCCTCAAGTGGGTACGTAATCAATTTTTTGAGGGGGCGCGAAGCTTATTGAAAATAAAAATATTTGTTGGATTTGATTTTGTCCGCCTTATTTTGAATATTTACTTTCATTTCATTATTTACGTTTCATCCACGTATTTTTAACATGTTTTTTGAATAAAACATACTTTCACCGTACTATCTGTTACTTGTAGCTTATTGTAAGCTGGTTATTTTTAAGTGTTTCGAGACCTGTAGACCGATTGCAGAGTTAAAAATGAATATTTATTTTCAATACACACCATTCTTGAAGCTCTGGGGATGGAATTAATCCAGCCGCTGAATCTGGAATGTTTATGACACGGGCTTGCCACCAGTTGTGATCATCTTTGCTGATTATCTGGAAGCAACAAAAATAATGGGTTAATTGTTTAGAGCAGGGGTGAGAAAAGATCTTTTTGCAAGGGCTGCCTGCACACAATGATCTGTTTTTTGCAAAGAGCCACATTGAGAAAAGTATTTGACTTTTTTGAAACAACCATATCATAGCTTTAGTCAAAATTTAATATGTATAACATCCCATTGGCTGTGTTGGAAATTTTCATTATGGCTGCCATTAAAAAATCAACTGTGATGTCACAGTTACTATTCCTATTTGCTAAGTAGTGCTAAATTTAATGAACTGGAGAGGAAACAAAATTAATATTATTTCAGCAATTCATGGCCTAGATGTTTTTAAAAACGATTAAAAAAAAAACTAAATTCTGTATGTGGTATTCAGAATTTTCACCAAGAGCACGAGGCCTGCAAAAAGTGCTTCGACAAAGCGCATGTGGCTCGCAAGCTGTAGATTTCCATGCGTGGATTATAAATTAAACCCAATTATATACATGCCATAGGTTAAAGATTTTAGGCTCAATTATTATATACAGCACCTCTCTCACGGTGTTAGGTAGCTTATGCTCCCCATTATATCTCATTTGCTTATTTACGGGCAATATTGCAATAATTAAAGATCACTGTTCTAATTTGCTACTATTTGAATAGTCAAACCTGTAATATATCTCCGGTTCTGAATGAGATGCCAGCTTCTCGACAAGGAATCAGCTCGTCATTCATTGGGTCGTAGTCAAACTGGGCTCGAACGTAGATCTGTAGAGTAGCAAGAAAACAATGTAAATTCCTTGGGGTTCCAGTAGCTCTTGGATCTCCATGTGGTCACACCAAAACTTTGCTCAGAGATGTTTATTACTTACTTCTGAGTATGAGATAACAAAAAACTTATAGCAGTTGTTTTCAACCATGATTCCGTCAATACTGCCCAGCGGTTCCGCAAGTTGCAAATCCAAGAGTATATTTATTATGTATATTGGTTAAATATAATCGAATACCTATTAGGTTAGCATTGTTTTAATACACTTTTGTTTTGCCAGTATCATTTTGCTTTCATATATATTTGTAGTTTATAAATTCAGACACTAAAAGACAATTGAACTATCGCACAAGGGAGCTTGCATTGGGGTCTCGTTCCCTACAAAAATGTTGAAAACCACTTATTCGGAGAACAGTGCTTTATGGTTGAAAAGTTTGACCATAATATAGGGCTATACTGAGTTCACAGTAACGAACCCGCACTAGAAATTAGAGTAGATTTTCTGATGAGCAAAATTCCTGAATAGCATTCATAAATCACAATTGCTAAGATTAAAAGTAAACAAAAGTATTATTATATCATAAACACCTGCTTATAAACGTCTCCAGCATGTCCATTAGGCAGCTTGGTAAAGATTTAAAAAAAAAACTGTCAAACTCTAAAAACTACTTAAATGATCAAACATGTAAAAAATCACACTCTATTTATTACATGGCCTACAACTAGTAAAACGATTGTTTGACTTTGTTAATAAATCACATTCTACTTTTAGCTAAAACTGTAATAGTTATATTTTCATCATCTGTTGATCAAGATGTCTCGGATTCAAATCCCGGAGACGAGGCCATTAAATTTTTGGTGCTCCAGAAGTATGCACACTAAGATGTCACACAACCTGAATCCTAACCGATACACAATACTATGTTCAGGTTGTGCGCCATCTTGGTGCGCATACTTCTGGAGGTCCAAATTTTTTAATTTATCCGTCAAAGGTTGAGGTGAACCTCTAAATTTATTTTTATTGAAGCCAAATTTTGAAATGCAATTCTAACATACGACCGTTCTTAGTGAGTTATTGATGAAACATGTTTCTCATTGTGTGTGAACGCTTAACAATCTGTTTGAGTAATTGATTCTATGTTTTCAGTAGTTTATGTGTCTGGAGGGCTCATCACAATTAAAGTCACATATGATATCTTCCAAGTATTCAAAATTTGATTTAAAAAAAAATTTGATTCGATTCTGAAATATAGAGTATTCGGAAACGGCCAGTCCTAAGGTGTTCATGGAATACTCAAATAACCCATGCATTATTCAGAACGTTGAAAATACACAATATGACTGAAATGTTGCAAAAAAACGAAATATGAAGGCAGGCTACCAAACTTTTAATATCATAATGAAAACCACACGATGGCAGTAGACATACCGTGTACTTTAACAGAAGCTAAAGTAGAAAGGAGGCATTAACAGAAAATATCTAGACTTTAAGCAGGGTCTCTCGATTGGATGGAGTTTCTATGACTACAGTTACTGCATGAAACATAGGTGTTGGGTAAATTTACAATAGGCTCAGAATAACCTTTGGAGAAAATTTAGATAGAAATTAGGAATTGAATATAATGTTTGACTTGAGCACTGTAGGTCAGGGGTTCCCGTGCTTTTTTCATGACGACCCCAAAGACAACTTTCAAGTGTCCAGTGTGGTCAATTTATATATTTTTCATGAAACTTTAAAGCTTCTTTCACTGGACTTTTGAGTTTGGTCATGTGGTGGTATTAAGTAAAATAAGCTGAAACCAAAATATGATGTCACAATAAGCACCTACATTTTCTATAGCAAAAGCATAGAGCGATGCTTATAAACCTGTTTTACAGTAAGCCATGGTACAAACTGCTAAATTTAACATGGTTTGTCAAATCTTAGATGTTTTGTACATCCATCCTCGACCATAACTCAGCGACCCCACCGACCCCATGACCTGTTTGCGACCCTACCTACTTATCATTCCGACCCACTTTGGGGTCGCGACCCCTGATTTGGGAACCCCTGCTCTAGGTTATTGTAAATTTCAACTCTGTTTCCCGAGTCCGAACTTCGGTCAGAACCAAAAAACAAAATTTTGATGACATAAGAATAGCATATTAAGCAAACCATTTCAATAGACTAAAGGCTTATTAAACTTAATTTTTTTTTATTTTCTCTAGGTAATTATGACTTTGGTTACAATAAAAAAAAATAAAAATAAATACTTACCTCACAGGATGGTGGCTGGTTTCGATAACTCGGGACAATTTTGAAAGTTATGTTGCCGCGAAGTTCTTTCTGTAAAATGCAGGGTAGAAATTCAATATAAGTTTATTGTTCAAGAAGTCTAGGAACAGTTCTGGTCTTAATGGGTTGACGCTTCATGTTAAGCAGTAGAAACACGTTTTCAGGTTCGAATCATGTGGAGGATAATGATGTGTGAGATGATTTTTGGACTCCTCGTCACCTAATAAGAATTGCCCGCTCCTCGCTGTCGCCCGAGAACCGATATTCGGTTCCGACTTCCTCCGCCATCAAGTCCATGCTTTCGAAAACAAAATACCTTGGCAAACCAATGCCATACCCAGCATGGACTAGTAACCGTACGAAAGACTGTGGTTCGCCATATGATTAAATCATCTTATCGTCTCCCTCCCTCGAGATAAATAAAAAAATGAAAACCTTACCAGCATTTTCTGTAGAGAATCAATCGTCTGGTTTGCCACATTCACACTGTTTATTTCACGAATTTCATCTCCAACATGGAGGGTACCTGGTGAACATAACAAAAATTTGTGAAAACAAAGAGTATTACTTAATTAGAGTGTTCTAGGGCAGAGCTTCTCAAACATTTTGGGCTGCAGACACCTGTTTGTGAACCTTATTTTTGACTGACTCCATCCTATGTTGTATCAATTTCTGTGCCTAACTTACTAGGAAGGATAATGTTTCATTTGACGAAATAAGTAGGAATCAGGGTTGTCCAAAACGAATCGAATATTCGAATATATTCGAATATCATAGTATTCGAATACCTTTTCGGCTGATTTTCGAATAATTCCGAATAGTAGCCACTTTTCGCGGTAAATGTGGTGTTTCGTTTTACGGGAATCTTCAAACGGCTTTTTACGCTGTCTCACATATTGTAATGACGATGAAATAGAATCGGCACTTTGATTGTTTATATTCTGTGCGATCGTACGTCGCATAGTGTTGCGACACATTTGCACGTTTGCGTGGGTGGACATTGCCGACATTCGTCTACGAGGCTTTTATTTACAAATTCATTTCCATCACATCGAAAAATTGACAAATACCGCTTTTCTAGTCCCAATTTTTCGGCCTGTTTTTTTTTTTGGGGGCGTCTAATTGAGAAAGTATGTTTATTTTATTTCTATGTGGCCTGCTTATTAGTCTTCTCAAGCATGATTTGTGTAACCTTATATTCGGGTCTTAGGGTCTGCCAATCATGATATTTAATCGCAGGCCGGTTATCGTTACTTTAAAGAGAAACATGGCCACCGAGTGAAAGTGATTTGTGACCCTTTCGTTTTGCCGATTCAGCAGAACACGACAGGGACAGGAAAACACAGCTGTGAAATAACCCGTGGACGTACAGTGTAGTACTTATCACATTTCCAAATTATTTTAACATTCGGGTTAATAGGTTGTCCAAAATGATTGCCGCTTTACAATTTAAATTTACCGCTCAATTGTTGCAAATAGTTAATTCTGTGAGTATGATTCTACCAAACTAACATGATCTGGTTCTAAACATATAAAATTATTAGCGCATATCACAGGGACACAATTTTTCTACCAGTCTTATTGGAGGCCTATATGGAAAAAAACCTTTTTTGAGTGCTAAAAATAGACATCGTCCTATTTGCCATGTGGACTTATTAGCCGGGAAATACGGTATTTATAGCCGTCATTGTTACGATATCCAATAAATTGGCACAAGTTGGAAAAACAAGTTGATTTATTAGAAAATAATTTCTGGCAAATAATTTTGATAACGATAGTTAAAAGTATCGATCCTTTACCAGGATGATTTTTTGTTGCGCAAAATAATCCAATCCATGACTGGTACCAGCATTTAAAATGTCATGTCGTATTAATTTAATTCCGTTCAACGTAACTCATGGTTGTATGGACAATCTGTGGACATAAAATGTGTGGTAAACTGACCGATATTATTGAATATTGATTCCTATTTTCATATTGAGAAAATAATGAAAGTATTAATACCAAATACCACGGGTATTTGTGGACATGAAATTCGTGGTAAACTGCCCAATTATAATTAATTTCGGATTCGTATTTACAAAATAATAAAACTATTATGTTTTTAAAATGCAACGGCGATCTGTGGCCTTAAAATGTGTGGTAAACTGCCCGATTTACCAACATTTGAGTTATGATAATAGAATTAAATTAACACGGTAAGGCATTTTAAATAGTGGTATCGGTCATGGATTCGAATATTTTGCGCAGCACAAAATCATCCGAGTAAAAAGTCCATACTTTTAAATACAAACCAATGGCAACCATTATCCAGCGGGATAAAGTATAAATTCTTTCTCCGACTTGTGACAATTTTTTCGTGAGTACGAAAATAAGAATCAAAAACTAATTATATTCGGCACAATATCACGGCAATCTGTGGACATAAATTGTGTGGCAAACTCGCGATTAATATTAATTTTTGATTCCTATTTTTGTATTCACAAAATACAACGGCGATCTGTGGACTTAGAATGTGTGGGTAAACTACCCGATTATAAATAGTTTTTGATTCCTATTTTCATATTTATGAAATAATAAAAGTATTTTTACTCAAACATACAACGGCGATCTGCGGACTTAAAATGTGTGGTAAAGTTTCCAAATATGAAAATTTTTTGATTCGTATAAAAAATTGTCACAAGTCGGAAAAATAACTCATACTTTATCCCGCTTTTTCGCAAATAATTTGGATAATGGTTGATATTTAAAAGTATGGGCGTTTTACTAGGATGATTTTGTGTTGCGCAAATATTCAAATCCATCACCGATACCACTATTGCCGTATTAATTTAATTCTGTTAACATGACTCAAGGTATATAAAATATATACTGCAATAATCTGCAAATATGAAATGCCTGGTAATATAACTAGGTTGTAACTTGTAGATAGCAGTTATTCCATTGCTTATTGTATGGAAATTCCTACATACATTTAGATAAGCTTCAATTAGTGAATTTTATTTTCGAAGTATTCCAAATTTCATATTCGAAAAAAATAATTTCGAATGTATTCGAAATAGTGAACTATTCGGTATTGGCCATCCCTGGTAGGAATCAATACATACTAATGTTAAATACTGGCAGGCTAACGGCAATTCGATAAGATTACGATCTATTTATATATGTTTGAGACTCTTTCCATACTTTTGCGAACCTTTTGCCTGAACGAGATAGTATTATATTTTCAAATCCACCCATCTCCAATGTTTTAGAAATTCTTTATAATAACTTTAACTGACTATTGATCTTTCATATTTGCAGCTATATCTTGTTTTGTCTGTAGAAGTTGACTACAATCCAACGAAAACTTACAAATATACTTGCTAGTTTGTAAAAAGAGATTAAGTTATTCTTATATTTCTCAATTAGTTGGGACATTTACTAATCAGACCAATCTTATTTCATAAATTTGATTTACTCCATTACAGCAGAGTACAAAGAGTGCGTGAGATGGCTAAGCGCAACAAATTTTTTCGTTTTTTGGAAGGATTTTTGATTTGTTGTAGTATTGCTAATATTCTTTAGTTCTTTGTTACTGCTATACTACCCATTCATGAAAATATTATAAACTACTTGAACTGTACAGGGTGGGAATGCGACTTGCGCATAACAACAGCTAAAGATCCTTTAAAGATGATTAAATAAATTAGGGGAAGGAATTTTGCTTGTATTTGCTGAAACAGGAATGTGACCTCTGCATAACACTAGCTATGGTTCCATTAAAGATTGAAAAATAAAGTAGTCTCAATGCATGAAGAGTCCCAATAGTTTAAAGGGGGGGAATTAAATGAAAAAAGTTTGGAATCACTGGCATAGCAACTGAAGCACTGGACTAAACTGTGTGCGCATCTTAAGTCTGTAATCCGAGTTCAAATACCTCCATTCAACCCAGGGTGTTCTAACTTACTGAGCAGGCAATGCAGAAATAAAATAACCCCCCCCCCCCCCCCCCCCCAATAAAAAAATTGTTAGATATCAGTGGATGATGCACAGTGCCTTGTTTGGAGCACACAAAGGGAAGTAAGCATCAATCGATATTCTAACTTACTGACCTTGTCTGTGTATCATTCCACCATGTAATATTCTGGCAACCATGCAATGACCCTCTTCATTAATTTTCAGTGTTATACCCTGAAATACATCAATCATTTATATTATAAAAGGAGTGAGACAATAGAAATCGAAGAAGATACACAAAACACTATTAAACGAGCAAATAATTTTTCAAGCAGGAAGGGAAATTCCCATATTTCTGAACAGAAAAAATATTTTTTCATGTAGAAGGGGATACTCCCTTATATCTTTGAACACAAACAATATTTTTCCGAATGGGAGAAAAAGCTCCTGGACTTTAATAACAGCATGTTTATTTTTTCAGATAGGAGGGGAATACCCATAAATATAAGCCAAAATATTTTTTTAAGTTGAATCCTATTTCCCCCACCAAAAATTTGTTCCAAATGGGTGGGAGGGGGAGGGGGAATTCCCTGATCACTCACCAATGGTTCTCCAGTTTTCCTCATGAATTGAACAAGTCTTACTCTGGTCACAGAAGCATCATCTTGTCCATCAATTTCTTCGGGATCCGTGGGCCCATTTTGGAATCCGTTCTGGGGTTCATGTTCACCCATAAGTGCAGGGGAACTGTATACCTCATGAGAAACTACATCATGGGCCTGGAGGAGACCCTGAGAAATGTGAAATTTTTTTTTAATATTTGAGGAGGTTACCCAAACTGGGCCTTTTTTGAGGGAGGGGCAAGAGCAATTACCTTCTCTAGATACCATTCACAGTAACTACATTCATTTAAAGAGAATCAGCTTATATTTCTGTAATTTTTTGACTGTATAGCATTTATTCTTTTGATTTGAGAAGGTCAGAAATCTTCTCACATATCCTTATATCCCTGACAAGGATTGAACTTGTCAATCCACGACATGGCAAACATAGGTTCGATGGCGAGCATGTTTTCGATGATTGACAAGATTAACTTAATGGCTGAAAAAGCATTAACTGGCCAGCGATCACGTGAACCACCCTACGAGTCAAGCAATCCTCCCTCACATAAATATCCCCCAGGGGATTCACACCACACAAGGCAATCAAGAGTTGATGGCAAGCGTGTTGCTAACACTTAGCATCAGCCATCAAGCACTATGAAAACAAATAAACGAATTCCCATGAGAGAACAGTAATTAACTAGTTGACCTTATCCAAGACCTAATGACTAATTAACGTGGTTGATAATGCAATGGCCCAATGGTTTCCAATCCAATTTCAACTAAGGTTAGAAATTATATGATTGGCACTTCGACACTTGCCATCATACATATGAGGTTCGAATCCTGTGAGAGGATTGGCCACTACGCCAGCTATGGCTTCACCACCATCAAGTCCATGCTTCTTAAAAAACAAAAAACTGGCTAACTAAACCAATACCTGGCAATGACTGGTAACCGGACAATAGGCCATGGTTCGCTATACAACCAAGCCACCTTATTAGTTATCCTTTACCAAAAAAAAATCTTATTTTAGGACAAATGGTCGAATTCACTGACTCTCCATATTATAATCAACACAGACCCAATAGGCACAGTGTGTATTTAGTGTCAGCTCTTTCCTCACTAACGCAACAACAACAACAAATAACCCAATGATTCACACTTTATTTAAAAAGACAAAAATAGCGTGAATTTCAGTTGTTTTATAAAGTATTTATGAATCATACTTATTATCAGAAGCTGCAGCACATTTTGGCCATCAACATGACCAGAATACGAATAAACAAGAGAGAAATGCTCAAATGTATGGACATTGGCATATTCGTAACTTTAAGGATTTAAAGTACTGATTAACCTACATTGCCGAAACTATTGTTTTTTGTAAAGCCATTGCACCTTCAGTGTGCCTGTGCATAAAAACCATTTTAAGCAATTTATTGACAGTGTGTAAAATACAGTACTCAGAAAGTCAGAGTAGGGCTTGTTTTAAATAGGTTAGAGTCAAGTGCCTTGGTTTATGGACATTCTTATTTCAGCTCATATCGGTAGCCGGATCTTAACATTAAAAAAAAAACCTACAACTGAAAGGTTAAACAACCAGCACAATCCAAATAAATATTGGAATTGAATGTTTAATGAGATTGTTAGCTGGTTTGAAGGTGTGGGCCAAAGATGATCCATGTCTGAGTTGATCATCCCAGGATCTATTTATATGTTCATTATATTGTGTGGGCGTTTCTGAAGTATGAGTACCAATATGGAGATAACTAATTTTGTTTGACTATTTTACATCAATTTGTGTGAAGGGACTGAAATCTATGGGCAGGGGGAAAATTAGGGAAAATTGGAGAAAATAGGGAAAATTGGAATAAAATTATTGCCTAACCCCAACCTGGTACACATGCTTCGGGAGGGAATACCGTTGTGTGGTTAATGAATCACCACAAACAGTGGAATTTCGAAGGAAACCGAAACATATGTTTCATGTTATGAACCACAGTCGAAAGCTTACAGCATTACATGTTCGACAGCTGAAGTTTTCTTAAAGGAACAAATTCCAAAATTTAAAACAATTTTGAATGTAAACAAGCATTGCGTCATCATAATAGCAATCAGCCATCTTCAATTACAAACATGACGTGGTTCCATTCTAAATGTAGAACAAATTGCGTGTGTTACTACGTTCACTTATTATGTGAATCCCTCAGGGATTTCTAAAGTGTGGTCTGAATTGCACGCAGAATGGGAGCCACAGCACGTGTGACATAGGCATTCCCATATCTGTATAGAAATCTTGAATTCTAACTTATATTCTCTCAGTTGTCTCTCATATATGGTTCTAGGAAATATCACTGTGTGGAAAATCGCCGCAAGAGCATTTTGCTGTAAAACAAGTATTTGTGATAAAAAAAGTAAGGTTTTTGAAGTACTTTTTTATTTAAAAAGATTAGTTATTTAAGAGCATACTCTCTAACAATATGAATCCAATTGTTTTATCATAAATACTTGTTTTACAGCAAAATGCTCTTGCAGCGATTTTTGCGTTTTTTCCAGACACGCACGTATGTAGTTTTGTAACAACACATATTCACGCCCTTTCCCAAATAAAACTCAATACAAGGGATTTGTTTTGAAGAAACGTTTCACCCAATGAGTTACATCAATCAAATAATAGTTCAATTATTCCTATACCCGGCCAGGCAACCGGACAAAAGAATGCGCTTCACCATATGATTAGGACATCTTATTGACTTTCCTCTATCCCAGTATAAATGCTTATTCACTGCAAATTCTGTTATCAGTATTTTTCATGCAAATTACAATTCTTTTCTTTCAGCTAACATGTATGGAACATTATACACAGGAGTAAAAAGATAGCAATCTTGTTTGCCTCCAAGTGGAATGTTTTATTACGGTATATTTAGAATTACAACTGAACATGAGCCAATGACGCTAATTGTGTTGATGAGTACACAGCTATATAATCTTACAAATACCTTTGGGAATTCAGTGCGTATGTTTGAATTCAAGACCAATTCGTCAGATTTCAAACCAATATTGAAATAAATTTGAACTTTCATTGACCTATTTTAACTTGTAGAGGATCTTATGTATTAATTTTTTGGTACTCCCGTAGTATGTGTACCAGGTTAGGTCATTATTTTATTCCTATTTTTCCTTTTTTTAGTTTTGTTACGAGTTCAGGGACGGTCTGTATTAGCCAAGTGAATATCCCCATGCCCATAAGTTTCAATCCCTTTACACAACTTGATGTAAAGTAGACGAACAAAATTAGTTACCTCCATATTGGTACACACACTTCTGGAAAGCCAATTTTTTATTCATTTCAGATTCGACATTGCCTCCATGATTTTTTTACACACTGCGCAAGATAGAGGTTTGACCCAGAGATGTGTAATCTGTGATACCATCTAATCTCTGAATGGCTGTTTTGCCCAGTGGCTTTAATATTTTAACGCTGTCAAAGCTGATGTTAACAAAATATTTGCAAACTTAGAAATTCCAAGTGGCCCACTAACATTTTGAATAGACAAGAGAGCTGTGCTCGAATATATGGACAAGAAATTCGTGTGGCTATTTTTTATTCTGACACATAAAAAAACGAATTTCTTGAAGTCCACAGAAATTTTTGAAATAAGTAAAAGAAATAGCCTTCTGGCAAAAAAATCAATTTTTAACCACTGAAAATTTCAAAGCAATTGGTCCAGTATACGAAGAGAAAAGCGATTTTATCATGACGAAAGAAAAGAATAATAATACTAACAAGAACAACAACATAATATTGAAACGATCGTTATGTACACTGACGTGTCAAATAAAATTTTGCAATGTGATAATTGTGTTCATGGGAACTGTATATTCTGTGTACCCAGCTAGATGTCTGGAGTTGGTTAATTGGCCACTGACAATAAATATTGCGCACCCTTGGCCTAGTGCCTTTTTTTAGAGAAAACACAAGTAATAAAACACTAACCATCATATGGGGCTGCAGTATCACGTTCCTGAATTCCATTGTCGCTTGGTCATGTTCTGGCATCCCTGACAGTGCGTCCTTTAATAGTTGAATTACGCTCGATGACGGCTCTAAGTCTTTGGATCTGGTGTTGATTCTGTCATACAGCTAAAAAAAATGAAAAATTTATCGATGATTTATTTTAAAAAATTTAACAAAGCAGTGGTATTTAACCAAGGTTAGTATAGTTCAGGGGTTCTGCAAAGTATCAATAAAATGAAGGAGACTATATTTCATAATGCCAGACACCCTCTTGCGGCGCTCTCGATACATGTGAACCAAGATGGTAGACGCTGGAGCCTAGTATGTGTACCAGGTTAGGGTTAGGCCATAACTTTATTACAATTTTCCTTATTTTAGTTCTATTATGAGTTCGAGGACTAGCCAAGTGACTCTTGTAGTATTTGTACCTGAAATTAGAGTCTACCGTAACCTGGTACACATAATATATTCCGGTGTTCGCCATCTTGGTTCACATACTCTGGTAGTACCACTCTTGCACACCCAAGAGTTTCATTCGTAAATACCAAAATAGCTTTGTTTCATTTTGCTCTGAACAAGGCTTTGTACAAGCAGGCTTCATTCCAAACAACAAAACCTGGTTAAGATATATTAAGAACTGACTTCATAACAAAATTTAAATTGTGAAAAGACTCTATGGAGACCGTGTATATTTACACAATGCAGACAATAAAGTACAATTGGACTGCACATGGAGTTCATTGAGCCTCTGCTTAGAGCCCGGAAATATATGTAATATAATAGTTCTTTTATTCGTGGCTTGATACAGAAAGGCGCTGCATGGTATAATGTTAGATGCAAATCTGCTTAGAGTTTGAATTAAAAGAAAAACAGCAATTGAAACGTTTACGACGAGAGGACGGCAACAATTCAAACAGTATACTATTTAATCCGGAATGCCTAGTACTAATAATGAGAATGTATTTATAAATTTAGCCATCAGAGTTCTCTGAGACTATCAAAAGAATTTCGACTCTAGACTCGATTATATAATATAACTCAAGCGGATTATAATCATGTTTTAAGCTACCATTTATGGTAGCCCTGGATTTCAGACAATGTTATTTTTCATTCAAACAGGAGGAAAAACGGTCAAATGCATGGACAAAAAGTACCAGTATATGTAGCATAGATTTTGATGAAAAGATCTGCAACGTAATGAAAAAGTGTTCCCTTTAAATTGTATCAACGAAATTTTAGTCAAAATAAGAGGGAGTAAGTTGAAACCAAAATTTTGAAATCAATAAGTCAATAGCCTAGGCAAAAACAGATTTTCCTCAACAAAAACCTAGGAAAACGATCGACTTCGAACATATCTTTCCAATGAATAGGGATGAAAACAATAAGAACATAAATGCGATAGCTTAGCCCCAACAATAATGAGACCATCAAAAGAAATTTCGACTCGACTCAAGACTCAACCATGAAGGAGTAAATTTCCCAAATTATAGTATTAGTTTAAGCTACCATTTGTGGTGAATTTCATAATGCATCATGAAACTGATAGAACATAAATTATGATATTCAACAGAAATTTGACTTCACAACAGAACTATAATTAGGTAGAAATTAGAACACAAATTTTCATCATGGGAAGGATCGGGAGGGGGAATTCCCAGCCAATGAAGATGCAATGGCCGGAAGATTGAGAATTCATTCATTTCGTCCAACGTGATGGTTGGGATCCACTGCCATAAAGAGTATCTAAACTTACAATTTGTCTGACATCAATCTTCCGTGCACAGCGCCGTTTATGAACAGTATTCCAGTATAACTCAGCGAGGGGGTTTTGGTGACCTATGACCCCACTTCCCCCTTCTGAAACAAGCAACGTTTTTTCAATATCATAATCCGATTTAATTTTCCTCGTTTTTGATTTCTTTCGTAAAAAATTCACAGAGCTAGATCGTCGCAACGATCTAAATACTTCTTTAACACCAAAACGACGGTTTTCACCCATTTTAGTTGAATTTTAAAAAAAATTTCTGATGCAAGAGAGATAATGATGAGTAAATTTTAATAATATATTCTAGAATAGGATTCTATAGAAGGGGTGGGTAACCTGTGGCCCCCGCAGGCCACAAGAAAAAATTGTGTGGCTCATGAAGAAGTGCCAATTTTAAATGGTGTGCAGCTCAAGAAACGAGTTTTTAATTTAGTTTAAGCTGATATGTGTGATTAATTCCCATCCCTTTGCATGGCAAAGCTTTTACCTGAGCCCAATTTAATATAATGGTCGATTGTGCGAAGCAAACAACACATATCATTAAATTTTAACCAAAATTTTTTGTGCAACTACTAAAAAGGTTATGTTAAATAAAGGTGCGGCGTGCGGCATGTGGTTCCACCCGGTTATTTGTATCTGGAACTCCTGTTTTAAAGGTTCACCCTTGTTCTACACCCTCCAATAAATACGGAAAGAGTACAGATAGAAAAGATACACATAACTGGAATTTCGCTGTGAATGACGCACTTTTTAGTTTATAAAGCGCCTTACATCGTCATGAGTAGCACTTTTGGCGCAATGTTTTAATTTCACCGTAACTCCCTGTTAGAAAAATCCTGGCTGCACCCCTGCACCAAGATAAACGGTTGCTTAAAAAGATCTGGGAGTCTGACTTTTGTTAGTATTCTAAGTATGACTTTTTTCTTAATATGAATTAATGTTAGACTTCCTTATAGGTGACGCTGCGAGATAACCATTTCTGGTTTATCACGCCTTCCTTAAATGCATTTTTTTATCTTTCTTATGTTTGTACAATGTCTACTTTTCGGTTTGTGAAAAAACTAACTACTGACTGACTGACCTATTTTTATTTATCAATCAAAATATCATCTCATTCAAGCATTCTTGTGGCAATAACCATATATGAATCCAAAGTAGAAAGTAAACAAAGACTGCCGTTCAATATAAAACACACCGCTACCCCCTGAAAAAGAATCACAAAGAACAAAGAGCCTGGCACCAATTATAATAAAAGCATTGCAAGCACTTGTATCCCACATTCAAAATTAATGAACTTCGTGAATATTTGTTAGCTTGGGCAACTATGGACTGTGTGTGGCATAAGCTGACCACAAAGACAATTATCTCATAGAGATTATGATTGGCCAAACATGAAATATTCATAAAGTAACTAAATATACCTGATTTACTGGAAGAAGGATATTTCACATTTAAAATTAATGAACAAACTACCTCATGCTTGGTCTTATACATACGGCTATCAGAAACAAGATATTCAGAAGTTTTGGTCTGATCCAGTATTGCTAAGCTAATTTTCGCCATTATGCATCTAAGCCAACCCCCCAAAAACTGTGAATTTATAAAAATTTGCATATATGCGGACCCTACAAATAGTAACACGCAAAAGGTTGCAGAAGACAATTAGTGCGATCAGTTTGTTTTGGTTTCCCTGTGCTAGGTTTAATTCAACATTGCTAACCCAATTTTCACTGTTAAGTATCGCATATAAGCTGACCACCTAAAACGGTCCTAAAATTATGAATTTATAAAAATTCACATATAGGCCGACTCTACAAATCATAACATGCCGTATGCACATACCACAGCAAAGGGTTGCAGAAGAGAATTAATGCGATCAGTTTTCGTTGGTATCGAAATCATCCTAAAAACAGTGGCCTTTTCTACCTTGGTAAAAGTAAAATACAAATCATAAAAAACTCTTTTTCAAGCTATCATAACGTCTAGTTACCATTCCTCAATAGACAACATTCAAAAACTACAAAATCTTACAAAAACCTGCAAATATATTTCTATATCTATGGCCACATGTGGCCCGCATGCTTGGGTTTGGACCACCCTAAACTAGATAGACCAGTGGTTCCCAAACATTTTAAAGTTGGGAACTATTTATTACCACAGCTAATGGCGACCCATTTAACTTAATAAATTAATAAAATCTTAAATTTAGGGGAAACACGGTAAGAAGTGCTGTACAGTGTACAAAACCGCAATGCGTAAAAAAGCCACATGGTCATTATTTGAGTAGCAAATTTTTGTTTCTTCGAGAAGATCGTAAAAAGGAAACTTTCACAGATTAGAATTTAATTTTTTTTTTTTTTTTGAAGATTCACGAATTCGAGTCGCCACCGATCCTAATACCCAGTTTAATTAATCAGAGCTTTCTACACCATTACACGACCCACTAAGATTCCTTTTGCCACTCACAGGTGGATCGCTACCCATAGTTTGGGAACCGCTGAGATAGACGATGCCAAACTGAAAGACACTCTCAAAAAAGTGAAAGCAACTTTTTCAATCTATCATACCATCTATCTACCATTCCACAATAGACTAATCTCCTCTTACCATGTTACAGAACTTTTATAGAAGGCAATAAAGACATAAAATAATCAATTCATCAATTTTTATTTTAATTGCCCTTCTGGGAAGTTGTGCAATCAATGATTGTAGATATTGACTAATGCCAATATGCGTGATTAGTAAAAGTTTTAATTATGGATGTTAGGGACTGTGTCCGGAAAATTCGCAACAGGAAATATCGCCGCATGAGAAATCGCTGCAAGAGCATTTTGCTGTGAAACAAGTATTTGTCCTTAAACCAGTTGGGTTTATAGGGTTAAAGTATGCTCTTGAATACCGAATCTTTTATAAATAAAAATGTACCTACTTCAAAAACCTAACCTTTTTAACACAAACACTTGTTTTACAGCAAAATGCTCTTGCGGTGATTTTTCCTATGTGGCAAAATTTCTTGCGAAAGATTTCCTACGCCAAAATTTCCCGCGTCGAATTTGTCCAGAACCGTCGGGAACATTTATCCATTTTTTTCAAGATATTTATGGTACTTCCACTCAGAATAGCACTATGTGACAGCAGCCCCAGACTATTTGCATTTTCAAGCTTTAGTTCTGAACAAGGCTTAACACAAGAATAATGTCTTCACTCTTAATATGGCTCTGAATGAGCTACTTCAAACTACTAACACAATAGAAGCTAGTATTCACAGTAGGACAAGAAACAGGTCAATAACGACAGAAAATCAAAAATATATATTTCTGATATAAATGTGACATAAGCTACCTTACTGCCGCAATATGCAGATGACTGACTTTTTGCCAAGACAAGATAACCTTCAAAAACTAGACATAAGATGGCTTGGTTCTAACAGCTGAATCTCAAAATAGCCTTTAGTTATAGATGCCACTTTTGGATTTACAAATTGGATCGATTCAATACATATTGAATAAAAAAAATCTTATGGATACAGATTCGAAAAAATTTCAATTCGAGAATTCTTGATTAGGGATTCGTTTGAAAAAAAAGTATTGAGAAGTGGCCTACAAAACCCTACAAAAACTAAAATCAAACAGGTACAGCTAAGAATCCTAGTCTTAAAGATTGCCAATATGCCAAAGTCTATTTCTGAAAAATGTAACAATGTAACAGAAGGTAGATTTGTTTTTATTCTTTGTACTTTCCTAACTTACATCTTCACACCTCCAACTCAAATTCCATGACATAACTCAATTTGAACAACAACAACGCAATTGCAATAAAAAATTTCGCAACCGGAATGGCGCTCCGGCTACAGATCACCACTGTAAATGACTATGCGACGTTCTTTAGCATGTAACAAAAATTGTCAAAAAAACAGATAGTTTGGTTGGGACAGCCAAATCTAAACTTAATGCACTAACTAAAATCCAAACTAAAACCTAAGAAACCTAGTCTGAAAGATTGCCATAATGCCGAAGTCTATTTTTGAAGAATGTAATGTTTTTATTGTGGCGAAATTGTGAACCTTCCATTTCTATCCACTATCTTAACTATATATCCTCCCACCTCCAACTAAATTCCAAACAAAACTTTTTTTCAATCCATTTTCCCAGACAATGCAATTAAATGTAATTCTTAAAAGCTTTCATCAATTTCACGCCGAACTTTCACGATTGAAACTTGAATTTCATGGTTTTATTTCAATCAATATATTCAATGGCGAAGCCAAACTGGATAAGTTTAAATACAATGCACTGCTTGAGGTCAAGGATTTAGATTAGATTTGAATTGAAATTCTATTATTTCCATGCGCCACCATTTTTTATTCCAAATTACCAGACTGGTATACAGGGTGTCCATGAAGCCCCCTTACGATTTCAATTTTGTTATAAAGTCAGTTTTCAGTATATCATAACCGATTGGTTGCTTACCAATCAGTGATTGTTAGTATTTTTACATTATTTAATACATCTGTATGGCCAAAACAATATATGGTATCGATAAATTCCCTTTGCCATTTTAAAAAATTTCAAGAGTTTATGGACACCCTATATTTTGCAGTGCTATGGCCTGGTGAATAAAGCGTTCCATAAAATTCTTCTGGCAGATTATACATCTTGAGTTTCAATTTCATGCCTCTGCTTCACCCAAAATGTAATTAATCAGATCGTTAAATCCGAGCCGAGAAAATTCCGTTCCTTCCAAAAAAATAGTGGCTTCTCAAATAACTTGGATAGAACATGCAATAATTGGATGTGTTTGATTACAATTCTGTTCAGGCCTTTTCAGGATTGGCTTCTTACCCTGCGGGTACATCCTTAGCCCCATCGAAAATCCTGTTACCCCACAGGATGAAAAAAACGAGTTTATCACTGTGCCTGTGGCCTTCATCACCGGAGAACATTCAACGGAAACCATCACCCCCGAGAACCAACCGTCATAAATTTAGTTTTTTATTGATTAAATTTCAAGAAAGGGAGATATTTTTTCTACAACACGAATTCATGTTCTCGTTACGAAAAAGGCTCTACAAAGCAATCACTCAAAATTATGATGGTGAGAATTTATACGTTTGCCCTGAAATAGGCTCAGTACAAGCTGCACACAAACAGTCCAATCACTGAGCTATTGCAATGTACCGTGACGACCCCCCTAACTACAAAAGCTTTTATCGAGGACATTAATGTGCCGGAACTAATTCTGATTGACTAAGATAAAATATTTGTTGATGAAAAATGGATAAATTTTCGGAGAGGTTGACAAGGTCGGACTGTGAATCTTTTTCTTTGTTTACTGACATTTTAAAGATATACGTTCAAGTTTTCAAAAACTTTCATTCAATTCTGAAATCAAAAAAGCAATAAAAGATTTTAGGTGATTAAAATTCATTTTTTCAGGTAAAATAAATCCCCCAAAATTTTCGGAAGAGGTTGGCAAGGTTAGACAGTGAATCTTTCTCTTTATTTGATGGAAATGTTTTGTCCAATTTCAAATTGAATGGGAAATTTAACAATTGAAGTGAATGAAATTATTTTTTTAAAAAAAAAGTAGGCTTTTTGTCAGACCAGTGAACTTGAGTTGGGCAAATTTTCATTGAGTTTGTTTTTTCAAACTTTACTTAATGCGAGTCTGAAAATTTGGTGCTTCCATAGTATGTGTACCAGATTAGAGTTAGGCCATAATTTTATTCCGATTTTCCTTATTTTAGACCTATTAGGAGTTCGGGGGACTGTCTGTGTTAGCCAAGTGAATATACCCCATGCCCATTTCAGACCCTTTACACAACTTGATGTAAAGTAGGCGAACAAAATTAGTTACTTCCATATTCGTACACATACTTCTGGAGCGCCAAAAATTCATCAATTTTCACAGTTAGAATTTCGGACTTCCAACTGTGAAAATCAAAGATTTTTTTTAAAGGAACTCAAAATAACAGAGTTGAATGAGGCTTCCCTTTGGAATATAAAGTAGAAAAACTTATTAGAAAAAAAACAATAATTGTAGCATTTTGCATCTCATATTCTTGAAGAGTTCTAACAGAGCTGCTCTACTTCAGTGAAACTTTTTCAGACTGTTTTTCTGATATATTTTGCACAGGTACTTTTAAGAATATTTCTTTTACTCATCAACCATTAGGCCCTAATATTTCCTTCATGGCTTTTCAGAAGCGAACACCAGAGTTCTATTCAGCGAAATCACGCTAAAGAGCGCACTCTAATGATATTTAACATATGCGACCTAATGCCTAAAAACAAATACCCGCCTCATAAATGTGTGTCTCGTGATCACTAATATTACCTTTAGTCTTAACATATTCTAGCTTATCTTTCCGACAAGAAATAGTTAAATCACCAAGCTCGCAAAATAATGCAAACCTTTCAATGAATTGTTTATTTAAAAAAGAACATAAACCAGCGCACAGTGCAATAATAGCACAATATAGCACCTTGGAAATCAATAAAGTAAAGCACAAGTGAGCAATGCTCAAATATATCCGGAACATAGAATAACTCCCTCGACCGTTTTACACAGTTAATTATCATCATGAAGAATAATGTATAGATACTCTGTTGGATGTCATATTTAATGTTCTCATATGTCACATAAAAAGTGTTCCCATACAGAAAATATGACAGCAAAATATTGCGTGAAATACCAGGCCTGGGAAACTAGAAAGAAATTGGCAGAAAAAAAATTAGGTAATAGCCTTTTAACGACTTCTTTCAATATTTGAAAAAATGAAATCTTTGGGTCTGTTAGTAGCAGAAAAAGTGATTTTTTTCCAACAACAACTTTCAATAAATTGATCTATATGAGTTTTTTGACCAAGAAATCAACAAACCTGTACCGACTGACCATTTTGGGAACCATTTAAATATTAAATTAATTTTAGATAAAACCAGATAACAAGGAACATTCGTAGAAGAAGAGTTTATTATTCATGAAGAATAAAGAAAAAGGCACTAGGTGGGGCAGTCTGTTTAGAAAACAGAGGGAAGGAGGGTTAATTCATAAAAATTTAACTCAACAAAGATTCAAATATGAAAATCTTGAACTGCACAGAAAATCATAAAATAATGCAGATTATTAATTAATTTAATTAATTTGACATTTGCAATGTATTTAATTATCATTATAGGAAAATAAAATTTAAATTCATCATGGATAAGAGGAAAGCCGATAAGACGGCTTAATCATATGGCGAACAATGACCTCTTGTCCGGTCCGGTTATTACGATGGAGGAAGCCATGGACAGTAAATAATTGTCATTGAAATAAAAGGTTTTCATTTTTATCCTGTGGAAGAGGAAAGCTGATATGATGTCTTAATCATATGGCGACCAACAGCCTCTTGTCCAGTTACCATTCGGTCCGGTCCATGGACTTGATGGTGGAGTCCGAACAGTTTAGTAAAAGTTTTTCTTCATCTTTGCTCAGAAGCAAGTTTTTACAGTTTATTTTGTACATTCTTTCACTCCTTGCACCTCTGTTTTATATAAAACTTGACTCATTGCACCACTCATGTCAGAGTGCTAGTGCTGGACTCGCTACTGGAAGAGAATCGCCGAGATAAGAGACGAGATCGTAAGATATCTGTTTCTGTCAGACCTGTGGGAGGAATTTCTTCTGTTTGCAGTCCGAGGAATTTACGCAAAGTATGCGGGCTGTGCGTAGCATGACTCCCTGATCCATCTAGTGGTGGTACTTGTAAGAAACCAGTCGGATTATTAGCTCCAACTAGTGTTGAATGATGGACATGGTTTTCCGTTAAATGTTCTCCGGTGACATGGACCATGGGCACAGTGATAAACTCGGTTGTCCCAGCTTGCGGGGTAACGGGGTCTTCAATGGGGCTAAGGACAAGACCCGGGGAGGAAGCTGATGCTTTTTGGTTTTCTATATGCATTGTTGTTTTATATGACATGTGGGAATTTCCCTGATTTGCATAGTTTGGAATGGCAAGAGAAATTGGGGGAATTCCCGGCTCATATTTTCTTTGTGGGATTGGGGAGGATCCTTGTGATCGAGCTCTCTGCTTCCCTCGCCTGAGAAAAAGAGGTTTCGACGTTGCAGAAACGCTGCGAGTGCGTTCCCTCTCCAGATTATCATCTAGTCTATGAGAGAAAAAAGGGGAATACCCTCCAAAATTCCTCCCTGATGAGAGATCGTCATTTGAAGAATTGCTCGAGCTGTCGCTGTCAGTCGACTTTCGCCACGGCAAACTTGAAAGTAAATGTACGCGTTCATCGCAAGTCACATCAGATTTATCGCTCTCAGATACAGCATGATGGCGCCGTGATTCTGTATGATGACGTCGTGAATCTGTATGATGGCGCCTACGGTGGTGATGATGCTTTGGATCAATTTTCTCCGAAGGACAAGAATGCACTTTTCGTGAGAAGACGGGTGATTGTTGGTACCTACGAGAAATACAACAATAATTTTGAATTTTGAAGACTAAGATTACATTCCCAAATGGCAGGGACTTTCCCTCCTTCCTGGGGGTGGTATTTTGAAGGGAATCCCCCTTTTGAAACATAAAGAGCATTTTTCTGTATCAAACATAGCAATTTTTCTTTGCTTGAAACGCTTTTTAGAACCTCATGACTCCAGAAAACCGATATTTTCCAATTGGCAAATTAGAAATTTCAGAAACCCCCCCCCCCCCCCCTTGATAAATTCCTAGCTATGCCACTGTTCAAAGTAGAGGCTGCTCGCTTAAAGCCTGGTTCATAGACACTCAAACCAACTCACCTATGCGGCGTTTTCTTTTGTGATGTCTGCAATTGCATGACGCTGTCCCATCTCTTTTCATAAGACGGTTCAAATCCAAAAGCACTTTTTCTATGCTTTGCAACAGGTGACGTAACTATTTCAGTCATTGACGACGCCATTATTATTTCTGAAATTAAAAAAACAAGGATTTGTTATTTGACATGAAGTTGGTCTGTGGATCAATCTGTTGAATTGTGGTTGTTGAGAAGACCGCAACTTATAAACCAAGTGATTTGGAAAAGTACTTAAAGAAATTCAAAGTTATTTGAAAGCTACTGAATTCCTTGTGTCCCGTGGGACTCAATATTCCACTCAAAAGTTTCGCTACTAGCCTCAATATATATCACCAGCCTTCCTAAAGATGGTTGGAGTCACAAGAAATATAAACCTTCATTTTTCAAAATTTTCTCTAAGTATCAGGGACATGATATTTTACATAAAATTGTGCTTCTAGCCAGTGCATATCTAGTGTCTTACCGAGACATGTGTTTGTGGGAAAAGCACTTTCATTGCGAACTATTCGATCAAGCAATTTAGAATTTTTATCACTTAAAAGTGGTTTGAGTCGCTATTTTATTTTATTCAATTTCCTTAAACTTCCGCGGAACCTACTATTGCACTCAAAATGTGATTCTAGGTTGTATATATCAGTACTTCCCTGAAGTCCCTAGAAAACTAATATCCTATTATTTGCAAAATTGTTTTTTACTCAACGTAACTTAGCTCAATGAAGTCCCGCGATTGCAACACTTTTCTGGATATGTTTGACAAACATGCGAATCTATTTATACCAGTCTCCACATGACTAAGTTTAATTATTAACTTTGGGACACGTGTTACAGAATATAACCTTTTAGGAGAGAAATCTGGAAATTTTAAAAGTAGCTTTTTTTTGTCTCGGGCCGAAAGACAATTAATCTTCTACTGTGGGTACTTTCCAAGATAATATTTCTATGTTATATCTAAATATATTTACATGGAAATATAGTTTCTGAAATATAGGATGTATTTGGAAAGGGTATGCTTAATAAAAAATGTATATTTAATGACTTTAAATGTGGTAAAGTTGAATAAACAATAATTAGATTTACAATTTATCCCAGGAGAGTTATATAGCAAACCATGGCTTTGAGCAAAACTTAAACAATCCTAATGAATCTTTCACTTCTGAGTGAGTGCATATGAGCATTGCCTTGACATTTTCTTAAAACTGCAAAATATATTAGCATACATGCGCTGATGATTTAGTTTCTGCAGGGCTAACTACTTATACTTCTTTTGTGCCAATGTAAGAATGCTGTAGCAAGAGTAAAGATACCTACCCTAATAATAAATTTCATAGCTTATTAAACATAATGAGCTCCTTAAATTTTATAGTCATTGAAAAGAGGGAGGATTGTTTCCTGCTGTGCTGGTTGCAAATTTGCTGAACTATGCAAATACATTAAGTGATTCAATAGTCTTGCTGCACACTAACACAAATACATTTCTGTAATGCTGTCTTACCAAAGTTTAACTATGTATAACTGAAGAAGTCTGACTTTGATCAGACGAAATACAGAAACACATTTGTGTTGGTGTGCAGCAATCACTTAATATATTTGCATAGTTCAGCAAATTTGCAACCAGCACAGCAGGAAACAATCCTCCTTTCAATGGCAATAAAATTTAAGGAGCTCATTATGTTCAATAAGCTATGAAATTTGTTATTTGAGCTGAAAAGTCAGCCAAGCTCAATACCGCATTGAACGAGCATAAATTATAGATGGGCCTGGGCTGTTATAAATCATTATCTGTGGGCCAGCTTTGGTCGTGTATGCTATTAGTGACATATGAGCATATTCAATTATATTTGTAAATTGTCTGAGGTTGCAGAAATTTTATGACTTAATTAACTCCAACACAAAGGTTTCTGAAAGTTATTGTGTCAGTGTGCAGCAAGACTCTTGAAACACTTATGGTTTTTTACAATGCGCAAGTACATGCCCTACATCTGGTCACCAACATTTTAGGTAGCTACTACAGTATTTATTATATTAACAGTAATGCACTCAGATTTCTGGCAGAAAATTTACAGAAATATATACATTCATGTTGAGATACCCAAAATCACTGTTTTTCAGTGCAAATATTTTTTGTCACAAAACTTTGTATTTTTTTTCATAATATCACTATGTAGCATTCTTAAATTGCTGTTATACTTGTGAAGGGTATATGTTACACAAATGTGTCTTAGGCCAACAAGTTACTAGATTTGGGCTTTGCTTTCCATTGGTATATTATTCATTAGACAAGGATTGCAGTGCTAAATATTAGTTTGTAAGAATTTCAGAATCGGGAAGGTGTGCCGTCAAAATATAGCATCCCACAGAAGTTTTTGGGTTAATTCACTACACATTACATTGTTACATTTTGAAACAAGTTAACATACATAAGATGTTGAAAATGGAAAAAAAAACTTAAAATTATTATTACTACTTACTATTATTACTATGAAAAACGAAATAAAAGTAGATTTGTATCTAAAACGTTTGCCTGTATAGAGCATTATTCAGAGTTCATGGCATATAATACACAGTAAATATTAATATAAAATAAATAAATAAATGAAATCTCACCTTAAAATGTTTCAGTCTTCACAGTAGAGAATCCTTTTCCAACAAGTAATGGCACAGTGAAACGGCAAATCCTTCTTGAAACTTTTAAACTATCATTTACATCTATGTGTGTCTAGTAAACTATAAGAATTATTCAATCATTATTCAGTGTATATTACCTATATGTCTAGAATACCAGTTTCTATACTTGCTTGACTGAAGTTAAGTTGGAACGATCTAATAAAACTGAATAATCTGCCATTCAATATACATTCTGAAATTCTGCTTATGAATATATTCTGAAAACTTTAGCTGAAAATCAAAAAAATTAAAAGAGAATCAGTGGTGGGCCAAGAGCAGGACAGTATCTACTCCACCTCGCTCTTTCTAGCAAAGACTGTCCTTTTCTATTGTAGTCTTTGCAAATCTACAATGGTCAGACATGCTTGGCCATTGATGCCATGTTGTTTACTTATGTCTGGTTTCCTGTTGCTTCCATATTATAATAGAAGACTGAACAGCAATGATAGTCTGTGGTAGTTTATTTGTTTATGTACATACAGGGTGTCCATGAAGTCCCTTTACAATTTCAATTTTGTTATGAAAGCAGTTCTGAATATTATTTTAACCAGGTTAATTGTTTTTTAATCAGTGATTGTTCAAGTATTTTTACTTCATTCAATACAATCGTGAGGGCCAAAACAATATACAGTATCGATAAATTCCCTTTGCAATTTGAAAAAGTTTTAATCAAACTTATTTTATTTTAACTAGTGTAATATTCAAGTTTTTTTAGACTTGGCTCATGGTACATAATAAAGTTCTGTGAAAACCGCATTTTCTAATAGTTTGGTAAGGTTAAAAAAACCAAAACTAAAACACGTACAGCCTCCAAAGCTAGTCAACAATACCAGAAGATCAAGCTACTTTGATTTTACTGTGGGCAATGTAGTGAACTAAAGCAGGGCTTTACAACTATTGCTCTACCAAAGATCTATGAATAAAACTTCAAAATTACTGGAATCCGGTCTTTTTTAGAAATTATATGTCAGCAACTTTAATAGGGCACTTCCTCGGCATGACAGTTCATATATAGTCAAGGCAAATATGATCAAATTATAAAATAAACTTCAAAATTGTAATAATTTAATTCAATAAAATTTATCAAAACCTTCACATATCCAAAATTGGGCCAATTATCCAAAAAAAGGTACGGTCCAAATCAAATACTCGAAAGATCCGGATTCAGACCGAAAGTCGCCAGTCGAGTAGCTTTGAATTAGAGCCTGAACGTACAATTGAACCACCGCCAATGAAGTCAAGGGCTAAGATAAGAGCTCTTTCGCAATCCTAGTTCTCAAGGGAGAAATATTTATAGACATGATTATGAATTTGGTTTGGTAATTGAAAGCTTATTAGAAATGAAATAATAGTTCAAATAAAGTTGACGATATTGGAAAGATATTTTGCTGTTCTACGCTGTTTTGAAATCAATACGAGGTTGTCTTATAAGCATTCATTAAAAGCACTGCAGGGGTTGGGCTGATATCATTATAAATTATTTTAACTCTAATAAATTAAAAACTTTTTAAAACTTGACTTAATATTAAATTTTACCTGTGGTTCTCTATAGTTCAGTGAAAATGGATAAGTTCCCTTTCAAGGGAATCACCTATTATGGAACACTTTTACGTAGGAAAGTACACGTCACTCGTATCAATGGGTTTCTTTTTATGAACTCATAAATTGGACTTTGGTCTCTTATTGTGAGTCATGAATGCTCCCTGCATTAGCCAATCACATGGCCCCATTGATGATTAGAAGAAGATATATATATTACAAGCACTTTGTGCATTTTACGTGACGAAAAAAATAGAAAATTAATTTGCAATTTTTCAAGAGAATTTTGCATTGTGATTGGCAAACATTTCCTGACTATATTTAACATAAAGAATATTCATTTCCACTATTTTGTAACGTCAAATTAATTTTCTATTAATGATTTTTGCAAATTTATTTGCCGAAGCTACTAATTTAGAGTATTTTCAATATTTCATATCTTCAAATTTTTTTTCAGAACATATTCGGAATAGTAGACTGTTGGGTTTTAGCCATTCCTGTGTGTATGGGAACCGACTAAGGTTACTATTAAAAAAAGATTTGAGCACTTTTGATAGTTTGGTCTGACAGAAAAGCCCATGAATGAATATAGAGTATTACCTAAAATCAAGATCAGGCACAGCTTTTGGCAAAAAAAAAAGAAAAAGATTTATAAAAATAGGATACAAACTACTTTATTTCTACTGATGACAATATGATTTACCAAATACTTAATTTTCCTATGATGCTAAATGTTCAACACGAGTGCACGTCTACGATAGGATTTCCATGTTTATCTCAGAATGAGGAAAGCCAATAAGGCGACTTATCACTGACGTGGCGTACCACTGCGTCATATTTTAACTTCTAAAACTGCTTCAGGGTATGCCGAGTCGTGTCGTGTAATACACATTAATTGATGATTATGCGTTTTCCTGTTATTGACACGGCATACAGGAAATAACAAGATTATCTCCGAGACAAAAACAATCTGTACAAAACCTAGAACATTCCCCCCCCCCAAACCCTCCAATCTATCAGCCACCGTATATCATTTACAAGTGGTTGGTAACAGATTTATTTATATTTGCTATTTTTTTGTTCCAAAATTTTCTCTAAGTTCTTTTTTACTGAATAGACAAGCACTTCTGGCATCAGGGCTACCATTTCACAATTTTAAATTATTATTTAAATTTATAAACCAGAATTACAAAATCCAAACTCAAATTTTAAAAACATTTTTCTATTTCCTCAGCACTAACCCCACAGCACTAAACTCAATTTTTAAGTGAAATTATATTCGATATATTATGTGTAATGTCAGAGTGTGTCAAAGGTGGTTTTTATGAGAAAAAATTAAATGAATGAAAACTATAAAATGAACAGAACAATCCATGAATTCCCATCATATTTATGGCTCAATTTGCCAATCATAAAGTACAAAAAAAATTAAGCTGCTACTCTGCTTATTCATAATAGCATATGTGAAAATGGTAAGGCAAAATGGTAAGGCAAAAAATAACCTGGACTTGCTTTCATAAGCCAACAGACAGACAGACTCAAGTGAAACAGATTATCAAACTACTGTGGTTATGAAAAATTAATAAGATAATATAAATTAAACACAATCATAAACACAATTTGCAAAATTCAGGTTGATTTCAAAGACAGTTAGTTTATCTCTGCAATGCCATAATAATCTATACATTATAATAAGCTCTAATGCAGACCCAGTGGAAACAGATTATCAACAAGTTATGGGGAATTAACAGAATACCCAAGTTATACATATTAGGAACCAAATTTGCAGAAGCACTTATGTTTCAAATAAAATTAAATCCTCAGCACTAACATAAAAGCCTTAAATTCTTAAGCTCACAGCTGCTGAATGAAACTGCCACGCTGTTCGCCTCCTTTATATATGTGAAGGTTGTTATTGTCTCTCTGTGATACCACACTAAATCAGGTCATGATTGAACGATTCTCTCCTATTTTTAAAAGTTTCATTCTCTCATTTTAGAGTTTTGTTACACTGCAGTGTTCCCATTGAATATATGTCACAAGAATGATAGTGACAACACAAACCAAATATGGCAACTTAATAAATATATTCTCTTATTCTTTCGATACAAATTTTTGATTTGATTATTTTGAATTAAGTTAGGCAAAGTTAAGGTCCAGTTCCCTCAATTTATCTTAATAACAAGCATTATTGTCTTGAGTAGACCTTTTCCTAAGCTGAAATAATCGAAGGCAGCAGATCAAAAAATAAGTAGTGAGGGAATACCCTACCCCCTAACTTGTCATAATCAAACCTAAAAGAAAGGTTAGATACTTAGGAAAGTCTGTCTCAGAACTTTGTAACAACAGAATATCATTGGCTACTAAAACATTCAAAATGAATTGCAAGTGCTGTTGAAATCATGCAAGGAAAAGTCAAAAATGACAGCAGACTGTCTAAATCGCAATTAACTTTGGGTTGCTTTATAAGTTTGCGCCAAATTTTAATTTTCCGAGAAATCTGAGTAGGCCATGGTAAATAAGTGAACAATCTACCTTAGAACTTTCTTATATCAGGTTAACATTACCTAAGATTGTCAAAATGTAAGTTGGATGAAACTGCTAGCACCATGCCATCTTATCAACTTACTTCTCACCACTAGACAAATATGAAATCAATCTCAATAAACTCATAATGAGATGAACTGGCTAGGTTCATGAACTGAATTAAACTTAAAAAGTGAACACGGAAACTGAAAGTGCACACTGTATTGAATTCTAGGGAATGAATTAAAAACAAAGTAGAGTACGTGCATAAGTACAACAGTTCTCTCACTTACATATGACGCACAAACTTAGTAATACTTTAGAGAAATAACTTGTTTAAAATTTGTTTTGATGTAAAGTCAATTTGTTACGACATTTGGTTACCAGTCTGTTGACTTTAAAACTTGTCCATTCGTGCCAATATGGCTGTGCTTACCGTTTTGCTATTGCAAATGTTTTTAAGAGATTTCTTATCAAAGCAAGGTCACACAAACTCATTCAGAAGTAAAGGACACTCCTCGCTGAAAATAGTTACGCCCACTCACTCACAAGTAAAGGACACTCGGCTCTGAGCAAAGTTACAGGTACTCACTCAAAAGTGAAGAAGACTCATCTCTGGGCAAAGTAACTGGCTCTCACTCAAAAGTAAAAAAAAAGATTCATATCTGAGGAAAATGACTGGCACTCAATTAATTTTGAATTATATCCAAACTACCCTTGGGCATTCACCAATGTCGCAGGTTCAACCCGAAAGGCGAAGCTTAGAAAAACTGTTTTAAGAAAATGAAAAATGAATAAATTTTTACTTTTTAAAACCTTAAACTTTTCATCAGAATATTTTATGAATATCGATTCAAACTTTGATTAGAAAACCAGCTTTGAAAGTAATTTTTTTGTGCACTTTCCACAAAATTTAAAAATTTGCCCTATTTGCTCAAAACTTAAAAATATGACTTGACTCTAATATCAATTCAAACTTTGATTGTAAACCGGCAAATAAAGCAGCTTTTTTAAATTTTGAAATTCGCCCTTTGTCTTGAAACCATCAAATCAATGAGCCAACACTTCTGGGAAGGCTTAACAATAATTCTCATAAATCTGCAAGATCAGCCCTTAACATTTTTGCTGTTCTAACAATTTTTTTATTCGCTTAAACGAATTCAACAACATATTTGAAGAATGTATACTCATGCATGACCTATGTTTATTCA